CTTGCAGCCGGGTCCAGCTCAGTCTCCTTCTTTGTTGCTGCTACAGAGATGCTCTCCCCAGGGAGGCTCACCTGGCACCTTCACTACTTATCTCTAGGCAAAAGCTTTTCTCCCAGGCCGTTGGGTAAATAAACATTCAGTGGCCTTTTAAACTGTGTGTGTTGGAGTTACTGTTTGTTGCTATGGTATGTATTTTTGTGTTTTTATATTGTAAACTGCCCTGTGATCCTCAGATGAAGGGTGGTAAAGAAAAAATAATGCTAACAATGATGATGACAACAACAATGCAGGAGGATTTAAGCTCACAACCACCAACACCAACACCACCAGTGCTTCCCCACTCTGGCTCCCCCTGCCCTATGCAGACTATTTGCACTGGAAAAGTAAAAGAAGAATATGGTCAGGGCAGAAGAGAGAAAAGCCATATGTGGGGAGAAGCCTTCTGGGAAGCTGGCCTCTGATCTGGAAGCCAGGCCCCCGGTTCCCTGACGTGTGGCACGATCAGAAGTATGAAAATCATGCATCACGTCTGCACACTCCTTGAAGCCAGCGTATAGATTTAAAAGCAACAACAGCAGCGAAAGCCAGCATAAGGAGTGATGTGAAATATGCAAGTCCAAGGCCAGAATTCCAGCTCTTCCACTGAAAGGCGATGCTCAAAGCAGGGATCGCTGCAGCCACATTAGCTGCCTGACAAAGAGAGTCAAAGCAAACCTGAACTGAAAAACAGATCAAAATTTTGTTGTGTGAGGCTGAGAATTACTTCCTTGAACCCAAATGGGAGCTGTGGAAAGGCATCGGGTTACGGATTCAGCCGTGTGGGCTTGACTTGAAATAGAAACTGATGGCACACTCATTAATAACCATCAGAAAGCATCATGGAGATGTACAACCAGAGAGTCTGGGGAGGTTCTTTTAAAATATATATTTTGTCCATCGGTACCTGCCCTCTGGGAACCTGCAGGCATGCCAGAGTCCTGTTGCTTTTATGTGATGGATATCCATAGCAGGCAGGCAAACAGGTCGATGGCAGAGATGCCACAGTGAGGTGGGGAAAGGAGAGGAGCCAGTCCTTCTGGTCTCTCCTCCCTCCCCCATTCAGACAGGACATGGTCAACATCACTTGGTACCTGCTGAGGCTTCCCTCCTGAGCAGAGGTCCCTCCACTGAGCTCCTGATCTTGCTCCTCCTCCTCCTCCTCATCTGCCTGTAATATGCCCTCTCTGAGCATAGAAGCAGCTGCCAGAGGGAGCAGATGGAGGAGTAGCATCCTCTGCATGGGCTTTCACACTCTCCAAGCATTTGTGTACATTTGGCCACATTGGGGGGAGGGCAAGGAAGTGGGCAGTGGGGCAAGCGGCAAAAAAGAGGTGGACCTGATCAGAGGTGGAAGCCCACTGAGGGCATCCCACCCAAGGGACTCTCCCTCCCCAAAGCTGGAGCGGGTGCTGACCACATGCAGTTGTTCTTGCTGAACATTTGTTATTTATAACTAAACAGGCCAAAGTGCAAATCCCTCTGCTTAAAACAAAGGTTAAAAGTGTATTGTTTGGCCTGTAATGATCCTATTGCTCTTATTATACTGAGATAGAAATATGTAACTACATACACACTCTTAAAATAGGATGCTTTTTTTGCAGGGGCAATTAAATGTCAAATCTAGCAAAGAGTCAGGTCTCTAAATTTGGCTGAAATCTTGCCTTTCCTCTCCCTTTCTCCCGCCAGTCTCCAAATGCCAGTCCCATGACTGGGAAAGGACAGCAGTTTGAAACCACCCTTTTTTCACCTTTGATGCAAGAATCACATACACATAGTTGTTAATTCAACAGCAAGTTCCCTGCCAAAGGGTGTATTTATGGTGATTTATGTCTATAGTATCTCGTATAGCAGTTTCCCCCTCTTGAAGCTCTGAGAGAGACAACAAATTAGATCCATTAATTTTGCTTTGTTTCTGCTGACCCCCTGCAAGACTGAAAGGGCCAGCCCCAGGCATTATGCTGCCTAAAGCAAAGGCCAAAATAGGCCCCCATTCTTTTATTATTTATCGTTTACATACTGCAACTTGCCAAGGTGGTTTCTAAGCCATTTACAAATATAAAACAAATCACCAAAAAAGCCAACTGGACTGATTTGGCAACTGAATCTTACTTGAACACTGGCCGGGTCTGCCATCACAGCTGAGACAAGCAGGCTGATTTAAGAGCTGCAGGTCAGGCTGTGTGTCATGCACAACTCTGCTTTCTCAACACCACCTTGCCACTGTTCCCTGCCTCTCTGGATCTGCTGCCTGAGGCAGCTGCCTCCCTCTGGCTAAGAATCTGGCTGGCTCTAAACCAGACCAGAAGAACTTCAGTCACAGTTGAGCCCAAACACCACAACACCAAAGGTTCAGTGGTTCAACCCCTTTCTGAAACGGCCTTCTGGGAACTGGGAAGTTGAGTTGCCAGCTTCCCCTCCACCCCAAAGATGCCTTTAAACAGCTGCATAAAAAGAAGAAATTTGGTAGATCAGCTCCTTGACCCCAGCATGCAGATAACCACGACAGGAAATTTTTTGACATGCTAGTCAGAAAGCAGTTTAAGGCACAAGTGCTTTGCTAGGAAAAGAGTTTGAGACCCAATCAGCAAGACAGAAGGAAGAGAGGTCTTTCACATGCATTTCAATTTTGATTATTTTCGGTAGCCTTGACTGTTACTTAAGCACGTCAGCCTTTGAAATGCATCCTTGACCTTTCAACTCAGCAGTGATTTGCTTTGTTTGACAAAGCACAGCAGTGCTCTTCCAGAGAATGCCGTTCCATGCTAAAAAGAGGGATTTGCTTTGTTTTATCGAGTGAGTGACATATGTACAGAACATGTTAACCATAAGCGGGCCATACATCTGGCCTCTGTAATTGGCATCATTGAGTTTCTATTGAGACCGTCACTTTGCTAGAGTCACAAAGCCACTAAATACCAGATAAAGCCTTCTCTGAGCTGAGCCTTGCACCTTACACGGAGAGCCCATTTTCTATATAGATGAACCCAGATCTGAAGTACTGATACAAAGGCATTAGCTATCCACTTGGTAGGCTCCAGCAGTGAGTGCAGGTTCAAGTTAAGTCCTGCTCCATGACTGCGCCAAGAAGCTCTGCGCTTAAGCCCAGTTTAACTTTCTGCTTGCAAAGCACCATATTGATGTGGAGAATAAGAGAAAAGGCTTTCTCTTCTAGCTTACTGTTTCAGAAAAGGAAAATAGAATGGCTAGATCAATATATTTTTTCAAATTATGTGACACCGTTAGCATTGAAGCAGTTTGCAATCCAGGTTGTTTCTGTGCAGGCTGATCCTGCACAGCAGGAAGTTCCACCAAGTTCTGTGGTGCTTACTCTTTAGGGCATGGGTTAAGTGTCTTAAAGTTCAGGACAACCGGCAGGAATGGGAAACCTCAGGTCTGGGGCCAAATGCAACTCTCCAGGTCTCTCCATCCAGCTGTCAGGGCATGCCCCAGGCCACACATCCCCAAGAATGTGTTGTTCCCTCCTTGACTTCTTTTGCCTGGCTGGAGCATGTCCCTGAACAGTGAAAATTATAACAAAAGGAGAGCCCTGACAGATTTGGCCAATGGTCAATCTAGTCCAACATCCTGTTGTCACAGTGGCCAACCAGTTGCCTAGTGGAAGGCTGTAGGCATGATCTGAGGGCAACAGCACTCTCCCGCCTGAGGTTTCCAGCAGCTGGTTTTCAGGAGCCTCCAACAAAGGTGGCAGAAGATAGCCATTCTGGCTTGCAACCAATGACAGGCTGCTTTAGTCCTCATCTAAAGCCATCCAAGTTGGTGGCCATCACTGCCTCTTGTTCCTGGTTTCTATGTGCCTGGAACAGAGCAGTCAGGTGAGTTTCTCCACCCACTTTTGCCTCTGCTCCTGCCCTCCACTGGCATGTGGCCCCTGGAAAGTTTCTCACAAAGCAATGTTCCCCATCACTTGTTGATTCCTAAATGTGGCACTGGCGGTTTTTCAGTGCTAGCCATTAATGGGACCCCTTGGCAAAGGGACTGGATAAGCCACTTGCATCGATCCAGCTCAGTTAAGCTTGGAAAGGAAAACAATATCTTGATGGCTAGAACACCTGGCTGCATTTAATTTCTTACAATGCCAGGGCTTGCTCAAGCAAGTTCTCCCCAATGGCACTTCTCCATCTGTAACACCAAGTTCCTTTGTATGCAGCTCTTGACTGATTCAGGGAATTTAGGGAACTGCACAGAAACAAGTCACTCCAGGGATGTTGACATTGCAAATTTCTCACTGCATGGTCCAGAAGGGCAGAGTTAAGGCGATGAATGCATAGGACAGGACAGTTACCATTGGCTGATTCAAGATGCCCTTGCGGGGGGGGGGGGGAGGACAGAGCCTCCTCTTTCCTCCTTTAACAATGGGAAGAAAGAGGTGGTGTTCGGAGTGGCAATCTACATTTCATCAGGGCTTCATTTAGAAGAGGAGAAATGTCAATAGTTTTCACTCCTTCATTTATTTACATACCGCTTGGGGAGGAAAGGAAGGTCACTTTGCCCTCTGTAAAGCCTGATAACCGCCATTAGTAAATAGTGGATTAAAAAAGAGGAGAGAGAGAGACTAGTTAATTCACTTGTTAAGCTGGCTGCGCAGAGGGGGCAGCCTCATATTCCACTGCTTTCCTATTTTCTCTTCCAACAACTGAAAGCGGAACAATGTGGAATGGACAGATCGCTCCTTAATTATCTTCTCCATATGCTTCCCTTCAAAGTGTTTGGAATTGGTCTCCCTTACGGAAGGGACATAAGCACAGGCAGTGCTGGGGATGCTGTGCAGGCGCCCAAAAGGAAATTCTACAGCAAGGTAATAATACAAGCTGCAGTTTCTGACTCACTTGTTCACAACAAGACAATCTGAATAATGGCTTCGTCTGCATCATTTATTCCTTCTCCCTAGCTAGGAACAACATAGAAAGTTACCTGATGCCATGCTCTCTAGGACAGGGGTATCTCCCAGCTGGGGATTTAACCCAAGACCTTCTGCTTGCTAAGCAAATTCTCTGCCACTGAGCTACAGCCCTTCACTAGGCCCTACCCAGGGGCAGATCTACTATGAAACTAATGAAGTCTAAGCTTCAGGGCCCTAATTCTAGAGGGCGGCAGAAACTACTTGCTTAGAAACACTGGGTCTAGAAGAACCAATCTGAGTTGCATGACTCTAATGGATCACACACACACAATCCCAAAGTTTGGGAGTCAGTAGCACAGATGTTGTAAACAACCCCATTGAAGAAGATAACATTGGTTACCCAGCCCTTGTTGCTGATTGTAAAGAGGCCCCCATGACTGTTTGAGCTTCAGGGCCCCCAGAATTTAGGTCCACCACTAGCCCTGTCCAGGGCAGAACCTCCAACTGTAGACGCCACACCCAGTGGACAGATTGCACACACAGGACTCTGGCCACAGGATCCAGTCCTTTGACTGTGGCAGCTGAGCTGTGGCTAAGCAGGGCAGTGGTACACAAATACTTCTTCTGTTTAGGAGTCTGTGAGAGCTCATAGGAACAGCAGGTCGACAAGGTGTGGGATTAACACCCGATGCAGGAGTACCTGTCTGGAGGAGTTGCTGCCAGGTATTTTAAGAGCAAATACAGAACATGAGCTGCAGCAAGCCCAATTTCAAATCTCAACCCCTGCATCAAGCCATACCCTTTAACCCAAAATTTGGGAAGCATCCCGAGTAACAAGGCTCTTGAAAAGATGGCTGAGGTAAGGTACGCAAAGCATTTAGCTTCCCATTCCCCAAACTGCCCTGCTGTAATAGTTCAGCACACAGGATCATAGAATCATAGAATCATAGAATCATAGAATCATAGAGTTGGAAGAGACCACAAGGGCCATCGAGTCCAACCCCCTGCCAAGCAGGAAACACCATCAGAGCACTCCTGACATATGGTTGTCAAGCCTCTGCTTAAAGACCTCCAAAGAAGGAGACTCCACCACACTCCTTGGCAGCAAATTCCACTGTCGAACAGCTCTTACAGAGGTCTATTTTGCCCAATGGCAGGGACGGGGAACCTCTGGCCCTCCAGAAGTTATCAGACTCTGCCTCCCATCAGCCCCAGCCAGTATGGCCAATAGCTAGGAACTGGGAGTGTCAGAGCCCAGCGGCATATGGAGGGCTACAGCTTCCCCGCCACTGCCCTATATGGTGTACTGCACTCCTCATGGCAAGCAAGCAGCACCGGTTTCAGGGTAATGTGGGCGGTTTTCCCACATAGGGTGGCAAGATGAGTAGGTGCAAAACAACAAACAACAACAACAAATGTATTTATATGAGTACCTACTAGGAAGATCCATAAAATAGGCAACTGTACCAAAGGAAATTATTGAGAAAATAAGAAATATTGGGGGGGGGGGGGAAGGGAGGAAATTTTTGCCTTTGCTCAGGGCACCAATGTTACCAAAGTCCACCTTTGCACCTCAGCAAGGCATAGGAATTTGTGACTCATCCCAGCACAACAGATTTTTGCCATTCGTCCTAAGGATTGCCCATGCCCAGCTCAGGAGCAAATTGGACTTAAAGGTTAGCAACCGGAACAAATGGGTCACCCAGACGTCAGTGGCTGTGATTACTAATGAGAGCAAGTTCGGCGCATCTCTTCACACAAACAGAGGCCAGTGTCGGTGGCAGTTCTCGGGGAGAGCCAAGCCCCCAGAAGCCTTTTGGAACGACGCGTCTTCCAGTTTCCACAGCGGCTCCGCACAAAAGAAGCAAGAGAGACGCTAGGTTTTCCGGGGGGTTGTTGCTGTGGCAAAGATGAGGCGGGCTGCTGACTGCAGGTCAGCCCCATCATCTTCTGTCTGGACAGGAAGCCCTGCCTGCACAATCTCGTGGATGTTTGCCTGTGTTTAAGAGGAAGGGTGGGCAGGAGGCACGAGCCGGTGTGTAATTTGTAAAGATTCCATGCTGCGATGTAGCTATGCGTATGTGTGTTTGTATCTTCCCGAGCCTTCATTCTCACATCCCTCTCTCCCCCTCCTGCTGCTCTGAAATAGCATCTGGGATAAGGGGTCATGAATATTTCACAAGGATAATTACCTGACCTGGAAAGACTGAGCCCGCTGGAGTCTTGCTGGCAGATTTAATGGCACTTTCCTCCCGTTTCACGGCTCAGCATGGCCCTCGCTGCAGCTCTGGCCTTTGCCTGCACCCCTGCCAATTAACCCTAACTTCATACTCATTCACTCGCTTGCCCACCCTTCCACAGGAACACCAGAGAGCTGGTTCTCTTGCTCAGTCACCCCAACGTGTACGTGTGTGTGTCTCTTCAATTCTCCTCACATTCCAGCTCCTAAAACCCCTTTCAATGGACCTGCCTATTTAACCTGCCTCAGACAACACACACACACACACACACACACCCACACACCCACACACACACCCCGTATGCATACCTTACACCTGTACTCTCACATTTAACTTTGGCTACGAGCAGCCTTCTACCTGCTAAAAATAACCCACTCTTCCAGCTCTAACATCCTCTCTCTCCCTTATGTGAAGTTAAATTAAGAAAGCTGCTGCCCTCGGAGTGGGATAATATACACGCTCTTCTTGCTGCTTCAACCCCAACCCCGCCCTTCTTTCCACATATTAAAAAAGAGCCTCTCTAGCACCATCTCTCTCTATCACAATTTGCAGGCACCCCAGGGCGATATTAAGCACTATAAAGCCAAGCATTCTGGTGCTAGCCACCTGATCCACACTCTCCCTGAACACATACCCCAGGGCTCTATTGAATTTTTATTTTAGGAAGGTTGGGATCGCTCCTATCTTTACAAAACATACTTGCAGCCTATTTCGAAAACTAAAAATAAAAAACGGGGGGGGGGCTGGTTGCAGAGACTTGGAGAGTTTTAAGATGCAGATAGTTCTCTTGCTGGTAAACTTATCAGGGGAATGGGGACAAGAAAGGAGAAAATGCTATTTTTTTCAAAGCGTATCATGTTGCCAAAGGAGGACTCTCTCGGCAAATAATCAAAAGAATTAAGCAGAACATGTCCTTTTAAAAAAGAAATCTGTGTGAGGAATACCAACACTGAATATTTTCAATTTAACACGGCATCCTAAAAGACGATTTTTGATCCCCTTCCAGTTATCAATCACAAGCCTCTCTGTTTGGAATATTAACCCTGTACAAGTATTTGTACCCAAAACATATACAATAACTGTGTACAGTGGTACCTTGGGTTACTAACTTAATTCATTCCGGAGGTCCGTTCTTAACCCGAAACCATTCTTAACCTGAGGCACACTTTCACTAATGGGGCCTCCTGCTGCTGCCGCCTCACAATTTCTGTTCTCTTCCTGGGGCAAAGTTCTCAACCCAAGGTACTACTTCTGGGTTAGCAGAGTTTGTAACCCAAAGCATTTGTAACCCGAGGTACCACTGTATAACAGGAGTAAGAGCTCAGGAAAAGGGAGGTAAGTACTACTGGCTTTCTGAACATCTGATGCCCATTCCAGGACTGGAAGGACTCTCCCTTCAATCTGAGAGGAGGCCATCTTTCTTCAGGGTGGGCCAGAACAAATTATTAGGATGCTCTGAAAATGAAAGGATTCTTTCCCACCAAAAGCTATGACCCTTTCATGCACCCATGGGAAAAACCTTGTGATGAAGAACCTGTAGCTCTCTAGATGTTGTTGGACTACAACACTCCTCATTCCTACCTATTGGCAGGCTGGCAGGAGTTGAAGACCCCCAACATCAGGAGGATGTCCAACCCTGCCTTATGAGGACCCTCCCTCTTGACATAGCTTCCTCTCTCTATGGTCCACATTGCTTATAGAAGCAACTTTCAGTGGAGGTAGTAGGGTGTGTTGCTCTTGCTGCTAAACAAGCTAAGGGTCCATCCAACCCCTCAAAGACTATAACACATTTATTACAGCCTAAGAACATAAGAAGAGCCCACCCACTGAATCAAGTCAGTGGCCCATCTAGTCCAGTATCCTGTTCTCACAGTGGCCAACCAGATGTCTGTGGGAAACCCAAAAGCAGTACCTGAGCACAACAGCAAGCTCCTCTCCTGCAGCTTCCGGAAACTGCTATTCAGAGGCATACTGCCTTTGACAGTGGTCGAGGCAGAGCATAGCCATCAGAGTTAGTAGCCATTGATAGCTTTATCCTCCATGGATTTATCTAATCATCTTTTAAAGCCATCCAAGTTGGTGGCAATCACTGCTTCTTGTGGAAGCATAAACCTTCAAGGAGTATTATCCATTGCCAAAATAAATGTGTTTGGGTTTTATGCTACAGTGCTCTTGTTTTTGCTGCCAGTAATTTCTTCCAAATTGCTATGTCCCAGCCAGATTTTATATTACCCCTAGCTCTTTTGGACACTAACCTCTTGGGCTATATATGCAACAACACTTCCAGGACCACACTATATGGTTACTATGGGGCCAGCCAGGCTACAACAGCAACAGGAGATGGCTTCAGGTCTTCCTTCCCATCAACAGCTCTGACAGCCTCTATCTCTAGGATTTGTGAGAATAATCCACTGCTGGAATTTCTCCAATGAGGCCTTCAAGTAACATTCAACTGATGGAAGAGGGCGGATTATAAAGTGTAGCCAAAGCTTTAGAGTTAGGGTGTTTTAATTGTTGTCCAAATTTGCTTTGTAAACCACTTTGCTTACTTTCTGCTGAAAGGTAGCATATAAATAAATATTGTAAATAAGCTATGCAGCAGGCAAAGACAGAAGTAGAGGCTGTTTCAACCCAACTAAGCCTAGAAAGACCTGTGGACTAATGTATCTGAAAGGAGCCCTTGTTCCAAAGCTCTGGGCCTGTTTTAAGCAGGTACACTTTTATAAAGTAAACATGTGATTATGAGAACACTTGTATAAGAAAAGGCACACATTGGGAAGCTGGACTCAGTTGTGTTTCTTTGTCAAGTGTAGCACTCTGCAGCAAACGCAGGTTACACAGCAGCAGACATAGGCCACAACTTCAATGCGAGTGAAGACCAGTAGCAATAACGGAATTTCTGAAGAAACCATGGATGAATGGACTGGATCTCTTTGAACAACCAAATGACTGGCATAAAGGCTACTCCAGGAAGTATCCATACAAGAATGTGTAGTGAGAAATGAGCAACCTTTGACAGAAGAATGAGCTACTCATTTCCAGTTAACTTCCAGTCAGCCAGCCATTACGGACTTCTTACACCTCATCATGGTTCTTTCCGCGTATCCCATTACAAACTTCCTCAAGTGACCAAGTCCACCAAGCCATACTAAAATAGTTTAATAGTTCTCCAACCAACCAATTTTTTGGCCTTTTTTTCAAGGGAAAATAGGGGCACGGGAAGACATGGAGGCACCAAGGGTAGGGTGGGGAGAGGACACAGCCACACAAAAAATGAAGACCAGCAGTTATGAGCAAGGGCCAATTCACATGATCGTGTTTATCATGAGATAACTGCAACTGTTGCCTAAGACTTGGTAGTATGGAAGAGCCAACACAGCCACTTTCATCATCATGTAGACACTATCCCTGCCAATGAAGATTAGCTTACCCAGTGAAACATTGCACTGGGTAATTATTACCTGAACTGATTATGTGAGTTGGTCCCCTGGTGTTTAAACTAAAAACCCCAAAACATATACCAAATAATGGGGGAGGAGTCAAGAGTGACAAGGGCCCAAGATTCCTGTAGCCTTCTGCGGCTCAGGAGGAGAATGGTATTTCTTTTCTTTTTTTTCTGAGTTGAGATATCCTATCCGATTGGACAAAGCAGGCACTTATGTGCATGGTAGGATACTGAAGAAAGAACAGAACCTCTGAAGATCAGATCCTCATTCATTCCGCACTTCCTTGTCATGCACAGAAGAGATCCCTGCTCTTTCCAGGATATGGAAAACACAGAAGGCCTCGTAACACCCCTGGATAGCAGTAGCATTAAGGGAACATCTTTAGCGGAATTATGCAACACCCCAGAAATAAAAAGGGGGTGCTCTTGCCATATGTTCACAAAATATGTCAGATACCACCCAGAAAGTGGCTCCAGTGTTAAGTCTCACAAATGGCCAGGAAAGCAGCAGCAACGGATCTAGTCTCCCTTTGTCCCTGTAGCAGGAGGAAGCTTAATCCCTTTGGCCTCAGCTAAGCGCTGGGTGGGGACCCATCCTGGCTTGGATCTCCCAGAGAGTCAGTTCTCAAAAGGCAGCTTAGCATCCAGCAGAGCAGCCACCCTCCATTGTCAAAACCAGGAAGGTCCCCAAAGCATCAGCAGCCAGGCAAAGGGAAGCAACAGGAAGCCAATCCTGGTACCTCCAGAGTCCAGAGAAGAACAGCCAGGTCCCGGGCACCCCTTTTTCAGCTGCCCCCCTTCTTCGTTGCCATAGCCCCCCCAGTAGCCGTCCTCCGTGGGTGGGTCATACTTGGGGCTGCGGATGTCATTCGCCGGCACGTCCCTGTAGAAGGAGGAGGGGTCGGCGGGAGGCGACCCCCCGAGGCCATAGAGGTGATTGGATGAGCCATTGGAGTGAGGGCGGGGGTGAGGGTGGGGGTGAGCTGCTCCATTCTCCCACTCAGGCCTGCAACCCCAGTCAAAGCCTACAGGGTGGTGGTTGCCCGGCAGGCAGCCCCGGAAGGCCGTTTCGTTGAGGCGGCGCATGTCGCGCCCCACGCGGTCGGCCGGAGAAGTGCATATGACGTCCGAGACGGAGACGCGCGTGCGTTGGAACCAGGCCCAGAGGGATCGGGCCCGGCAGTCGCAGGCCCACGGGTTGTTGTTGAGGCGTAGGAACTCCAGGGACGGCAAGTCTGAGAGGGTTTCCCCGGAGAGGGTGGTCAGGCTGTTGTTGAACAAGTACAGGATGGTGAGTTTGCCCAGATCGCGGAAGGCCCAAGTTGGAACGGCATGCAGGCGGTTCCTGTGCAGCAACAGGCGGTCTAATCCAGACAGACCCCGGAAGACGTTCTCGGAAAGCTGCCAGATCTTGTTGCCGTGCAGGAAAAGGTGGCTCAGGTTTGCCAGATCCACAAAAAGGTCGTCCTGGGAGATGCAGGAAGAAAGGACAAGCTGTGAAGACACCGCTGGCAAAAGGAACAGCCCCAAAGGCCTCTTCCTCCATATGGGAGATTCTAGGCCGATTGTCAACTCAAGACTGTAGACATTCATTGCTGCCTCCCCACCTTTCCAGATCGCTCCCACACAGCTACACAGGATTTACTGCTGGACGCAAAGCCAGAGTTTTATGAGGAGGTTGACTCCTGCGCTTTGGTTGAGGAAATGATACAGGCTGGCTCCCAAGTCCCCCACCCACAAACTTTGCCCTCCCCCGCTAAGGATGTGGCTTGAAGCACTGAGGCATGAGCTGCAAATGCATTTTTGCTGCTGCAGGCCAGGCTGCAGCTCCCCTACTCTTAAGCCACAGCGCGCCCGAGGCCGGATAGGCATGTGGTTTTTAAGTGAGTCGCTGGCAGGGCACAGAGAACCTGCCTTCAGGGGAGGACCAGCCATGTGGGGGTGGAAGGCTGAGCGGCACACCAGTTCCTTGCCGGTCTTCAGAGAGAAATGGCGGAGAGGCCTCCATTTGTCCTCTCAGAAGGCACATCTTAAACCATCTATGTGGAAACATGTCAACACCTCGCCTCATCGACCCACCTCCCTGTTCTGCCCAGTGAGACTCTCTCCTATCCATCTGCTTGCTGGAAACTCAGAGGAAATTCCCCATCTGTCCTCAGGCTCCACTGCCAGTCATTTTTCTTCCTTCCCACTCCCATCATCTTTCCTTGAGAATATGCCCCACAAGGTCAAAAGGAACTTAAGCCCAGAGGACCGCCAGGGGAGAAAGGGGTCCATACCTCCACAGCCCACCTGGGGAAAAGCTCCCCCTAGAGGCCAGAGGCAGTGGCCCAAGTTCCACGCTAACCCACAACCAAGCAATCTGGCTCACCTGCAGGCAAAGCAGGTTGTTCTCCTGAAGGTAGAGGTATTGGAGGCTGAAGAGGTTACGGAAGATGGTGGTCGGCAAGCTGCTCAGCTGGCAGCGGTACAGGTGCAGAGACTGCAGCCGCTCCAGCCCGCGGAAAGTGTCTGCATCCAGGGTGCGCAAATTGCGGTTGTCCCCTAGGTCCAGCCACTCCAGAGCTTGGAGGTGGCGAAAGGTGCCCGGCTGGATGGAGGAGATGTTGTTGGAGTAGAGCCAAAGGGTGACGAGGCTCGGCCCAAACATGCCGGGCCGCAGGGTCCCAATCAGGTTGTTCTGCAGGAAGAGGCGCTGAGCATTGGCGGGCAGGACCCGTGGCACCGAGGAGAAGTTGTTGGCCTGGCAGCTGACCGTGGGCGGAGAAAAGTAGCAGGTGCAAAGCATGGGGCACATGGCTGCCACCAGAGGAAAGGCCAACAGGAGCAGGAAGGTGGGAGCCAAGCCTGGAAGCAGAGAAGGACAGGCAATGAGATTCTTCCTTCAGCAACCATCACCCCCCGCCCTTATGTGGAATATCCTAGGAGTGGTCCCGCCTTCCCTTTCCACCCACTTCATTGCTATTTCAAGACAGCTATTTATTCAAAGCTGGGCTGGGGAAGCTGTGGCCGCCTAGATTTTGTTGGACTATTAACTCCCATTATCCTGGACTACTGGACATGCTAGCTGGGGCTGCTGGGAGTTGGAGTCCAATGACATCTGGAAGGCAATAGGTTTCCCATTCATGAATTAAAACAGGGTTTCTCAAACTTGGGTCTCCAGCTGTTTTTGGACTATAATCCCCATCACCCCTGACCACTGGTCCTGCTAGCTAGGGAAGATGGGAGTTGTAGTCCAAAAACAGCAGAAGACCTAAGTTTGGGAAACCCTGATTTAAAATCTTTATACCCCAGCTTTCCTCTTGAGAGCTTAAGGGGGCTATTCCCATTATTCTCCTCCTCATCTTCATCATCACCCCACCCTTGCTCTAACCACTACACCACACTAGCTCTCTTTAGTGTGGTGGGGAGCCCCACAATACACACATACTACCCAGATACTTCAAAGGTTCAGTTGTCAGGCTTCCAGTTAAAAACATGATTTTGAAAGATCAAAACAGAAAGTCAACATTGTGTTCTTGACGGGTCAGTTACATTTCCCAGCTCTTTATCTTTGATTTCTTTTAAATCAAAGTAATAGCCAGTAAAAGAGGAGAAAGAAAGCCAAAATCCTCCCACTTTTCAAGAGCTGCGATGCAGAGAGAGAGATCCCAAACCGTGAGACTCACAAGTCACCAGAGCTGGCAACCCTGAGAGGCGTAATCCCATATGAGGAGGCATGCTCCCCTAGGCAAGAGAGCCAAAGATGTCATCCGTCGCACGCAATTTCTCACGTGAGACCCCTCCTCCTCGTGCAAGCGTGCATGGTCCCCAACCTCTGCATGCATGCGTGTGGGCAGTGTGACGTGGCAAACGAGTAACACAAGCTGCCGATGCCGTTTCGGTAGTTCACACCACCTCCACGCGGGCCCTACGCTGCCTTCCCACTCTCCCCAGCCTCCATGCTTCTCATGACAAGTCCTTCAAGGAGCCTCGCCAACACCCAGAATGCTTCGACACAGCTCCATCTTTATCAGCATCAACAACATTGTAAAGGCTGTCATATTCCTGCCCCCCCCCCCGGCAGGAATTTGACAGTCCCCATGTCTCTTCAATAAGAGACACCTGAAATCACACACCCCTCACCCAGCTTAACTTTACAGTTTTGACACGTTCACTGTTTTGGGACTTGCATGGAGCATACTGGGAAAAGCCTCCTTTTGGCTACACCAGTCATAGTTGGGAGATAGGGGTAGCGTAGACACTAAGCACAATTTAAGCCCATTTCGCTACCTTAAAGAATTCTGGGCACTGCAATTTCCTCCTCATGGGGTTAAAATTCCCAGCAACCCTTTACAAATCCCAGTGTTCAGAATTCTTTAAGGGAGGATTTCACTCCACAGGTCAGGAGATTCACAAGTGTGGCACCTGAGAAGGCCAGGACCCCCTGCCCCACCCCTCCTTTTGCTGTAAGATTACAAGCAGAGGTCTTGCACTGACCCAGTTAAACAGAGCAGGCACACATGGGGGGGGGCAGGCTGAATGGCCAGTGGGACAAGAGGGAATTGCAAGACAGCTGCTAACAGATGCCAAGGTGAAATGCTGCTGCCCCCCCACCAAATCCACCACAGAATCCAATTCTTCCCCCTCTTCCCAGTTTTTTTAAAAGAATTCTGTTTGTGCTCAGTTTTGGACTATTACCACAAGCTGGTAGCAAAGAAACATAAATTTTCAACAACAAAAAAGTCCTAACTTACATAACATATGCCATGCCAAGGAAAGGAAAGGAAAGGAAAGGAAAGGAAAGGAAAGGAAAGGAAAGGAAAGGAAAGGAAAGGAAAGGATTGTCTTTACCACCCCCACCGCGTTTTTACTGATGGGTAGCTTTGTGACAATAACAGGCACAACTTTGGCAGGATATGACACAGGCAGGACTGGGGTTCAGGTTGTGAATCAAATTACAGAACTGATAGTCACAAAAATACATGTTGCTTTATAGCTCCAAAAGCATGGCTTTGAGTCGGCAGCAACCATGCATGTTCCACAACCAAAGAGACACATGAGGCAGAGTTCTGTTTGCAGGACCTGTTTTTCACCCCTGAAGTAGGGAGGGAAATCTGCCCTGACCTCCCTGCTCCCTTCCTGCTAAAACACCTCCCCTAAAACCCTGGGGTGGGGTGGAAGGAAGCCTATGTTCCTCAGTGCCATCAGCAGTGGCCATTTCCTCCAATAATGGCAGGCCAGTTTTCCCTCAAGGGAGAACAGGGAAAAAGCCTTTATCTTGAGCGGGGGGGGGGGGGCAGAGAAGAGAGGGAGCTGCAGCTGCTACTAATGTTGACTGCTTGCCTCTTGTCTCTGGACTCCTCTCTCTCTCTCTCTCTCTCTCTCTGGTGCGGTGGAACCGGCTGTAACCCAAGGAGTCTCATCCATAATTCAGGCCTGTGGCTTTTCGCTGGAGCTTGGGCAGAGAAAAAGCAGAGGGGAAAGGGATTGGAAGCTTCGCATCTCTCCCCATAAAAGCCCTCTGGCCTCTCTGCCTCATCTTAGGGGGAAGGGAGGCTTGCAGGCAAGTTCTAGATACTGCTGACCTCCCTATGCCCCACCCCAGCCAACTCTCACACCCCCACCCTTGAATCTCATGGGGGTTTTCACAGCAAATTCCTTCTCAGTTCCACCCACCCCACATTTTCCCAATATTCTCAGGAATTACCCACGCACAGTTACCTTCCCGGTCTCCTCTCCAACCTAATCCCCCCACAAAATCATCATCGTATGGGGAACGCTTTGCTTTGATTCCTCCCCCCCCCAGCAAATGCAAGAGGTGCTCATTCATAATTTTCAAGGTGAAAAGCTGAACGACTCAGACGAGACCGAGCGCATTTGTATGAGACCAAAAACGCTATTTTACTACCCTTGTTGCTAAACTGCAATGAGAGGAGATGTTCTTGGCTAGAGCACTAAGAATGTGTGCCCTGTAATCCCCATCCAAGCTGACACCAGCACCCCCACCCCCACTCTTAAAGACATTTCTCCCTCCTAAACTGCTTCTCCTGAGATTTAAAACCCTTGATCCTTCCCTCAGAAGAAAACTTCACCAAATGTTCATTAACCTTGTGAGAGGATTCCAGTCCGTACTACGAATAGCACAAGCTCCTCAATGCACTCTGGCTTTTAAACACACTGTTATGGATGGATTTTACCACTCCCTTGGGAAGGCGCAGGAACAACTTGCACCATGATGGGAAGGAACAGCGTGGGGGCATGGGTCACATGCAGCAGGATTTCAAGGCAGAGGTGAGGAAGCTGGAAGCAGACCCTGCCATCTCCCCCAACCTGATGCCTTGTGAATGTGCACGTGAGGGCCTTTCGTTCATTTATACGGGGCACACAGAGGAAGGAAGGAGGTGGGACATCCTTCCAGACAGACTCAGTTCCCGGGCTAGTTGAAAGGAAGGAGAGTTGTGGTGGGAAGCTGCGATGGGATGGGTTGATGTCCCCCAACTGGGCAACACAACCCTGTAGCGGCCTGCAAAATGGGGGGCTTTGCGTCAGTCCTTTTTCCCCAGCCTAACTTGCCTCACAGGGTTGTTGTGGGGGAAGAGAGGAGAATCAGCTCACTGCGGGAAAGGCAGGATAAAAATGGTAACAAATAATCAAAACCAAAAATAAATCAGATCTGTGCCTACTAGCCAGGAAGAACTTGGGAAGGGGAGGATTAATACAGAAGTTTTCTACCACCACGTCAAGGCTGAAAGCATGGTCTGACCTGGGATGCACAGCTAGATTGGTTCCATTTTTAACTCAAGGGGTAGGAGTGAAATCAATGGCAGTAGATGTGCTCTCAATCCCAGGAGGAAGGGGATGAAATGAGACAGTATTTCCAGTTCTTGCAGAAAGTATGGCTTCTTAAGGGACACTATTTCCTCCCTATCTTCACCTCCACCTCTTGATCCTTGCAGCTCATGAAGAACCTGCTCTCTCTCAAGCAGGGAGGAACTACAGAAACACACATCAGAGCACCTTTCCTGCAGGCTGAACATCTCTTCTAAAAATCAGGGCATGGTATTGACTGGGATCCTCCAAGGGGGAGAGCCTCTTCTCGCAGCCTTGCCCTCCCTCCTCTAAATGCTGTACAGCTACCCTGGTTTGAGAGAGAGAGAGAGAGAGAGAGAGAGAGAGAGAGGCCTATCTGCTCCTTTGGCTGCCAGCTGTTGGTTTTGTCTTCCTCTGCCAGAAGAAAGTAATGCTGATCTCCAAAGTTTTAATGCTGGAAAAGTCAACTAGGTTTAAAGGTTCTCAAATCTTTTTTTAAATAAACAAATAGCATCCTGATGAATACTCAAATAGTGGGTGCAAAGGGCTTCTCCTGAAAAAGGTGGCTATATTCAATGGGCCATGTTTTGTGTCAGCCTTTTGAGCTCATCATCCCATCGCTTTCACCACCAGCCTCTGTTCTGAACCTTGGAGATCTTTTAAATGTGTTGGGGCCAGGTTAGGGTCCAGCATGCCGTGATAGCAGCAGTACTGGTGCTCCATTAATCAAGTATTGATTCCCATCTTAACACACCAGAACTCTCCCCTACTATGGAGCATTATTGCCCTTTTGGAAAGAGCCTTTGCTTACCCCTTTGCTTACCCCTTACAGGAAGGATTGGCAGCTGGAAGACTGGCAGCTGGACAGACGCAGACCTGAGAGGGGTGCCATCTGACTTGCCGGTTGCCAACCTATTTGCAGTTAAAGTAACAACAGGCCACTCTGGGAAAGAAAAGTCAAGGATTTGGCCCTCCAGCGTGATTCCATTCACAGAGGGAATGCTTCTCCTTCCTTCCATCCCCATGGGGTTTAATGGCTGGTCAGGGCCTCACATATCTGTTTACTGGCCTGCTTTCAAGGTGGGAGGCAAACAGTGGGCAGGCTCAGCCTACCTAGCTATTGTTGTCTTGGGGATGGTCCCCCCTCCCCCAGCATTGAACTTTCTCTTTATGTTTGCAGTGTAGATTACAAGAAAAGGGAAACATGGAGAAAATTAACTTTGAAATTAAAAGAATAAACTAAATCAGAAGATATGTGCTTACAAAAGATCTGTGCATACTATCCAGTCAGATGGAAGGAAATAAACAAATAAACAAATAAATAAATAAATAAGCTGCACTCCAGAATGCCACAGATTCCCTCTCACCACCACCACATCGCATGGTTTGCCTCTAGACCTGGGTGCTTAACACTGAACAATTTTCCATCTGGAGCCACAAGTTGACATGATCTATGAGGGAGCTCACTGAGTCCAGATTTTCACCCCTGGTCACATATATCCTTGTTTGCGGCTATCTGTCTGTATGGCTGGTCCAGGTGCGCATGTTCCAATGTTTATAGAATCCTGTGTCGGAATCAGCAGAGCTGCATAGGACAAGCAAGGTTTGTCCAGGGTAGGACCCATCCGAGGAGCTGGGGTGCCTGCGGGTTCCAGTGCAGGATCTGGCAGGAAGCGCTACGCGATGTGCGATCAGAGACCAAGGCAGGCAACACTCAAGCCCTGCTCCTAAATCTGGGGAACCATGGTGGGTGCTGAGATCAGAAATGACAACTCAGTTGTGCGTAGGCTGGGGGGGTTAAGACAAGTGTCCCTGGGAGGGGCCAGAGGTAGCAGGTCTGACGTAGCTGGTGACGCGGATAAAGCTGAAAACAACCCAACTCCTCTTTCGTCCATAATTTAACACCCCAAAATAAGCAGCTGCCTGTTGTTGCGTAACCCATTGGGGGCCAGGCTATAAATGGCAACAAGCAGAGTAGAGCAGAAAGCCACCGGCATCCCTCCAGCCAGGCAGGGCCATTGCCTCGCCTGAACTCTAGCCCGGTCTCCTGATCCCGGGACCCACACGGGCCATGCATCTGTCCTGCAGGACAGCAGCGCCAGGGAGATCTGCAGCACCTGCCATTCCTTGGCTCCTGCCTCATTCGCTGGCAGCGCACATCCTCTGTCCTTTATGAATTCAGCACTGATCGGCCCTCCAGAGATGGAGAAGCCCATTGCAGTCTCTCTCTCTCTCACACACACACTGGCCCTGTCCATCACCTTTAGAGTCAATCTCCTCTCAATGCCAAGAAGAAGCGGTGCGCATCCTTCCAACTTCGGGACACTTCACCTTGCTGGAGAAGAGAACTGGCCTTGCTGAGCTGGAGGGGGAAAGGTCTCCAGCCTCCTCTGTGCCTACAGAACCCCACCTCCTGGCCTCCGGAGCCACTTTGGAACGGATACCCCTCTAGAAGTTGCACAATCCTGTCCAGGTGGCATGGGGGGGGAGGGCTGCTAATGAGGCTTTCTGAGCAATTTTGAGTCAGGCAAATTAGACCACTCCTGTAATCTTCCTTGGGGCTATCCATCCGAGATGGTTTTTCTAAAACCATCAGAAGAGTAGCGCTCTCTTTCTCTCTCACACACACATACACAGCGTCCTTCGTCAGGACATCATCGCTAGTGTGTGCTGCTTGTGTGCCTCCACATTATTAAGGCACCGGATGGGGAAAGAGCAGTTATTTCAGAACAATCAAAGCACAGAATAACTGGACAGCCCCAGAAGACGCCCATTATCTCCAGTCCACGTGAGCATAATAGCGCCTTTGGAAATGGTGCCACCTCAAGGTCGCCTTGGGGCTGGAGTGGGCAAACAACCAAGTGCCTGCGTGTGTGTGCCTGCGTGTATATTCCCACGAGATATTTCCCGTGTTCTCGAAAGGGACATCTCAAGGGGATGGGAAATAAAGCTTCGCTTTTTCCTTTCCTTTCTGAACTCAAAGGAACAACCACCATATGGACTCCTGACCGATCGTGCCCCATTCTCCCCTTGCTTTGACAGCCAGTTTACACGCGAGGTCCCGTTCTCTCTCCCCCCTCCATCTCCCCGCCCCTAATAAAAAACCCCCACCAAGTTCTTGTTCCTCGCCCATCCTCACGATCAAAACATTCGTGTCCCGCATTCCAGACCTCCCGAAAACGGATGGAGGGGGTGGAGGTGGGTGCTCCTCACTTACCGTACAGGGTGGGTCCTAGACGGAGCCGCATGGTGCCAGGCAGGCTCGGTGGAGGGACGGAAGAAAACGGCAAAAAATAAGAAAGACAGACAAAACCTCAGGAGAAGAAAAGGAATGAACGAAGAGACAAGGAGGAGGAGGAGGAGGAGGAGGAGAAAGCAGTAGCAGCGGCGGCGGCGGGTGGGTGGGTGGGGTGCGGGGAGGGTCGCGATCGCCTCGGAAGTCCTAGCTGGAGAGCAAACGCGCTCGGCGTCCCGGGACTCCCTAGAGAAGCTCCTGCGCGACGGGGCGCAAGGCGAGGGGTCGCGGCAGCCCGGGCGCGTCTGGGCGCAGCCTGCGGGGGATCATGGCCCGCCTGGGGCCAGCCAGCCAAGCGGCCGGCCGGCCGGCCACCCTCCTTTGGCCCGGCAGCGGCGGCGCTACCCTCCGCTCCGCCGGCGAGAGCTGCCGGACGGAGGCTTCATCCCGGACGAGCCGCCTGGCACCATCTGCTCCGCTCGGCTCGGCTCGGCGCGCGCGCGTCGCCCCGGCGCAGCCAACCACTCCGCGAAAGGGAGCGCAGGCGGCCGGGCGGCGGCGCCTTATTCCCAGGGCCGGCTGGGGCTCCGCCCCCCCGCGGCCGCGCTTTAACCCTTTCGGAGCGGGACGGACGGACGGAGGGTCGTCCTCCCCTTCGTCCTCCCGGATCTTCTCTGCCCACTGCCGCCCGGCCCACCTTGCCCGGCAGCCCCTCACTCGGCCCCGCCCACCTGCTTCCCGCCCACGCACCTCGCCCCACCCTGCAGGCGTCATCGCGTCTGGACTCCGCGGGGGGTCGCATGTCCTGCCCTTCCCCTGGAAAGGGACGGGGCGCCCGCGGAAAGTCAACAATAGACGCCACGCGCCCAGATCTTGCACTCCGCATTAATTAATACGAATTAAACGTTCTCGCTTCAGTCCCCACGGGGGACACCCCTCCAGCTGCCCCACCCCGTGCACACTTACTTGGGAGTAAGCTCCCATTGAAGCCGGTGCCTTGTGGGGTGAATGAATGGTTGGGCAAAGAAAAAGTTAAGGAGATCTGAGCATGCGCCCCCACCCGTACACCTGTTCCGACGCGCACCTTCCCGATGGCTCCAAACGCAGATTGCGCCTCCTGCACAGAGAAGCGGAGGTTGGAAGAGATGAACTGTGTAGCCAGGCACTTTCTGAGAAGCGGCTGGAGGCCAGGGCGTAAGCCTCTCCCGCCGCATGCTAAGTGATCATAGGAAGAGGGTGCTTCTGAGCATATGCAGAGTTTTCCTTCTACCTAGGAACTGCAACTGGATTTGGCTGAAGGCGGGGGCTAGAGGGATTAGAGGGCACGGCTGTCGAGGAAGCGCAACCTCCTCAGCTCCCCCTCTTTGAACAGAGCAACCGTGGGGAGAAGTTTCTGATCTCCGGTGTGTTTGGCTCGTGCTTGCCTCACGGCAAAAAGCGGGACTGTTCTTTAGGGTTGGGAAATCTGGTTTCGTTTCCATTGGAAAGATTTCGAGGTATTTCTCAGTAGCCTGACAGAGCGAGCGAGCAAGCAAGCGGGGTGGGGGTGGGGAATCGGAGTATCAGCGCCTACTTCCCCCAAATCGAAGTGGTTGGGCAAGTGACCTTGGCCAACTCGCTCTCCCCAAAACACACACACGCTTAGCGGGAGAAGTTCAGGGCAGAATAAAACACAGCTCCATGGAGCTGGAGCAGATGGGAAGTCGCTTACACTGAAAAACAGCCGATATATAAGGCTGAAACAAGTTTAAGGACGCGGTTCTTTCGTGTAAACGTCGGGGCTCTGGATACAGGCGTGGGGACGTTGCGGCCTTTCCAATGTTGCTGGACTCCAGCTCCCATCATCCCTGACCACAGGGCATACTGACTAGGGCTGATGGGAGTGGGAACCTCATCCCATGGCTCATCCAGAAAATTTGCCCTATTGGAAGAGCATGGAAACAGGAAACGCGAACCAAGAGAAAGTCTGCGCGGAGAGCAGGCGGCGTCACCTTTCCCCTTACTGCGCTCAATGGCGCTTGCTCCCACAGTCGGTGCGTCCAGGATTCCAGCCTCGGTGCAATTGGAATTTCTCTACCGCCTTTCAACAGACGTCCCCAGGGCTGTTTACTTAAGAGGGAGGGGGGGACACAGACAGGTTACTGTGCAAAACGAAGCGTCCCCTACTAGAAGATACCATCTCGACAAGATTTGCCTTTCCCAGATAGAAAAAGCTCATCGGGATAGCTAAACAAAAGGACGCTCGTCCTTACGATGGGCGGGAGGAGAGCACAGGCAGAACGTCTACGTCGTCGACATTCAAAGACGCACTTAGAAAAGGGTTCCAAGGGTCATCTAGTCCAACCCCCTGCAATGCAGGAAGCTGCGGTGCCTTTGCAGCGGAGACTGGCGACCCATTCGGGCGGATAGGATGGGGCAGTGCCCCCCAACCTCAGTCTGCTCTCAGCCAGCCCCCGACTTGCCTACCGCATCCAGTCCAGGAGGTAGTGCTGCCTTTTAGCAAGGGAAGCAGAGCGGGCCAAAACCAGAGTCACTTGGCTCTCATGTACTCTGGCTCCACCTACTGGTGACCTCCCTGCCACCCGTCCTACCAGTTTCAGTTGTCACCAGCCACTATTGCCTTTGGGGTGGGACTTTGGGGGCAGAAGTCCAGGACTTCCAAGAGCAGGGTCGGAAAGGTTAAACCCGGTCCCAGGGGCGGAGGAGGGCGCAAGACCACTCAGCCCAAAGCCTCACGGTACCTAACTGCACCGCGGCGCAGCGCTAGAGTTGTCTAGTCATGCCAGAACGTGACAAAACCTGGAGAGTCGTCATATAGTGTTGTGCAGTGTTGTGCAATGGTTAGAGCATCGGGATGCGGGCCAGCCATAAATGTCCACCCAGTGATGCTGAACCGTCAGTCCCCAGTGCTCATCCTAAACAACCTTATGGGGTTGTTGTGCGGTAGAATGGGGAGAAAGGAAACCAGGAAAGCGGACGACGGGACGGGACTTTCGCCCGCGAGAGGGGCCAGGCTCCCCCGGGGCAGGTTTCCGTGTCCCTCCCCCCCCCATCATCGTCCCCTGTGGCGGAGTGCGGGTGATCGAGGAGGACCTGAAAGACGCCAGCCAAGAAAACGGAGCCTCTCTGGGCCAAAACCAAAGGGGAGACTCGGGAAGGAGCGGGAGGAAGGTGGAGGAGAAGGAGAAAGGAGCCCGCGCAACTGACAACCTGGAAGAGGCGCCAGCTGGCCGAAGCTCTGCCAAAGACTCCCTTGCCAAGAATCGCTGCTCTCCCAGGAAAGGAAGCCGCCGCCGCCTCCCTTATTTATCTCGCTCCTGCTCGCTTTCGGGCCAGTTCGATTCCCACGTGAAATGGGGGCGGGGGCAAAAGTCAGGATTCTCCCTTCGCAGGACTTTCTCCATCAGGCATTAAAAAATAAAATAAAATAACCGATTCGTATGTCAAAGGCTCTTGAATATTTTTTTTTTTGAGGGGGGGCAGGTAAACCGGTGTAGGAGCGGAGACCGCGGAGTGGTCAGAGCTGCGATCCTGGCGCGCTTTACACCCGAGTCAACGCGCGGGGGATCGGGTTTAAGGGTGTGCGAGCTGAAGGTCAAACCCTTTTGGGTTCAGAGCCAAAACCACTCTCGCCTAGATGGTCCTCCATTAGCTTCAAGCAGATCGGAGCATTGTCCTTCCTTCGCGCCAAGCTCGCAGGGTTGGTGTAGGGCAGCGCTAGGAGAAGATGGGTTAGAGGCCGACTTAGTCGCGCTTAGAGTAGGCTCGGTGAAATCCAAGAGTCTAAGCTAGTTACCTCCTGTTTTTTTCAATGGGTCGGTTCTGATCAGGACTGAGCCTGCAATCCTGACCCGCCCCTTTACTTGGGAGCAAGGCCATGGAATTCCAAAGGAATTACTTCCGAGTAGACATGGTGGAGCTTCCACTATAAATCTGGAGCCAACCCAATCTAGGCGAAATTCCTGAAACTACTGCGGCGTTGTTGTTGTTGAATAGGACGTCCCTATTTTCATCGGAGAAATGTTGGAGGATATGAGTTAGGCCTCAAGAAGACAGGTTGCGCCACTGCCATACAAAGTAGCGGGTTTAAAATGCCTGGAGATCACAGCCCATCCCTAATCACATGGATCGTAAGTAAATGCTTTAGGGTTGCCATCTAATAGCCACGCAACCGATCCAATGCATGTTTGAAATCTGGAGTAAGTCTCATAAGACACATACTTTCAGGTAAGACTGAAGACTGGAAGTTTGTTTTACGCTCACGCAGGTTGGATCAGGTACTCCGACGGATCCGTCTACAAGTCCTTGGCATGGCTAGCTTATGCAGTGGCAAGTAAACTGAAAGGGGTTTAAAAATGGAAATGTTGCCGTTTCTGAAGACGAAGGATTTGTGGGTTTGGTCCATTTTGGTTACCAGAAACCTGGGCGAAAGCAAAACAAACAAACTAAAAACACCCTCCAGTCAAATTGTGTCATAGACTTGGAAGTTCTGGCAAAAGCTGAACATTTTAGGATTTACAAAAATGCTAGCTTGTGACCAAAAATCAACCCACGTCGAACAGCTTTAGTTATTATAACTTGGAACATGCCAATTTTTAATGGTGTTTTTTTTAAAAAAAAATCGAGTGACAGAACGTACACGCAGGATCTTCTTAATCTGCATTAAGTAACGGGAGAAAGAGCTCTCGGTGTAAATGACCTCATCGCGCGATGCAGAGGAGTGGGCCGCAATTGTCATTTCGAAGGAGATGCGCCTCTGATTGGCATGGCTTGGGAGGAGGGGGCAAGTCGGAGGTCCAGGGGGAAAGTGTGTGTGTTAGTTGGGGGGGGGGAGATAAGATTCTACCACCCAATGTTGATGAAGAGCTCTGTAGAGCGTAGGGAGGGCTGGGGAGGGGCTCTTCAGTACAATCTGGCACCGAGTTTGTTTGCCTCGCTGCCTCCGGAGTGAAATATCACAAGATGGAGAGACAGACGGTGAGGGTGCAGGTGGGCGGTGGCGGGCGGTAGCTCAGGCTGACTCAGGGGGGCCGTCATCCGCTTGGCTGGCCATATGCGGCTCGCTTAGGGAGGGAGGATCGCTCCCACAATGCACTGGGGCCAACCAAGCATGGGCACCTGGCATCAGGAGCGTGGCTTTCCCTCCTCCTTTCCTTTCCTTCCCATCCTCTGTAGAGCCTTCTAAATCCAGAACCCCCCTTTCCTGCGTTGAGTCCCTCAAGTTAGCTGCCCATAAAGCCATCCCACGCCCCTTTCGCTTCCCACACAGGTAAGGCTCTTCTCCTGGTCTGCTCAAGGCAGGTGATGTTAGTCTCACCTGACCATCCCAATTCGTTGCAACTACTAAGGACTGTGCTCGCCCTCAAGACACTCTGGCACCCACAATACACAGAAACGGGTTTACCGCTGCCGAGCATCCCTGCCCAACCATGGTGACCTGTCAGACGTCTCCCGGAAGTTCAGAAGCAGAACGTGATCCACATTCCCATCCCCTCTCGTTTGTCTCTAGCATTTGACAAACAGGAACATGCGGCTGTTTAACCGTTGTTGTGTGTATGTTTTAGCACTAATGAGCACTGATAGTTGATCATCAATGATGTGGCTAATTCTTTTTCTACCATCTAGGCAGGTCACCACGACCGCATCTTGTGGCCATTAGTTCCATAAATTAATCCATTTGCTTGCCAGGAACCTGTTGTCAGTCAGTGTCCTAGGGCTTTCAGAG